ATAAACCCTTTTTTCAAACTTAAAATGATGGCTAGAATGTCAAATAGTATGAGAGAGGTTTGCCTCAAAGACACAACTGAGAACCATTTTCCTTGAAAGAAAACTAAGGCTATGCAAGAGGTGAGGAAGAGGTAAAGAGTAAACCACAAAGGGCCAAGTGCAAACACTTAGAGGCCAATTTAGAAGGAAATAAACCACCAAAACAACAAAGAAAGTTGATCTAACAAACAAACTAATTAAATTTCCTATGGAGAATAAACAAAATTGATTACAGTTGAAAAAAAATCACATACATACTAAACCAACTACAAGTAGTGCTGGAAAAAGAACAAGAGGAATTATCTAGTAGAGAGCTAAATCAGCCAAAAACAATGCTGGTGTCCAAACAGATACTCAATAAACATGAGATGAATGGATGGACAAATGAAACTTTTAAGTGATCGTATACAGTTCATGCTTCGAATGGCACTTTAAATTTCCACTAAAATACAGTTTACCTTAAAGTTTACTCAGATTTTATGCTCCAGAATAAAATAACAATAGCTATCATTATGAACCATTAAAAAGATGTTACACACATTATCTCAATCTTTAAAAGAACCTCATGAAAAAGACATTATTATGATATGGATAAATATGTTCAGAGTTCAAGAAATTTAACCATGATAACACATCTAAAGAGGCTGAAAACTAACACAGACTTCTCTAACATACATGCATTCTCACTACATGACATCTAATTTTATTCCTTAATAATACACTCAAATATATGAATATGTGACTCTTTGTAGGTGTGTACAATATATTTGGAGTGTCTATAGTTGCAAATATATAAAACTATATTTTTAATGAATATGTTAAAATTATTTGTTGTCAAGTACAACCAATGGGTGATCCTATGAACTTAGCCTTAAAAGTACAAATAATCCAGTTTAAGAAGCATCTACTAATAATACTGTTTTCATTTGCAAAGGTAATACTTAGTCATTTACAAAAGCACTTTGAGTTGTTTTTTTCCCTCTGTTTAATTTATATATGTAGCTAGGATATCCATTTGAAGGTAACTGACCAGTATAAAACTGCTATTCCTGGTTTTCAAAGAAAACAATGAGGCTTACTTTATACATGTCAAAATCCTCACCATAGAGCAGGGGTCAGTTTGTGGGCCAAATCCTGCCCAAAACAGACTGTTTTTCATAAAGTTTTATGTTGAGAAGTTGTAACAGAAACCACATGACTCAAAAACCATGAATATTACTATCTGATGCTTTACCAAAAAGTTTGCAGACCCTTGTCCTACAGTCTTTAATTCTTTCTACTAAAAAAGAAAGCATACACAATAATTACACAAAAAACACATTGGCTTTTTTTCCTGCTCCAGTATTTATGTTTAGCATACACACTTTTAATTATATGGGACTCTAAAATTTAGTGACCATTGAAGAAAATGATTAAAGCACATCCCATTGACCCATGAGATATATATTTCTTAATCTTAAATATTTTAGACATTAAAAGAAAAGCTGCAGTTTCTTTCACCAGCAGCAACCAGTGTCTATAAGTTGTATTCCTACAGGAATATGTTTTCAAAAAGAAACACTTTGTTAGAATAAAGATTAACAATTCAGAAACCAGATTTGATCAGGAACTGACAAATTGTTCAAAGTTAGACTTGGGAGAAAATTAAAGATGAAAATTAATCCAGTTATAATGATATAGTAACCACAGAGAAAATCAGTTAATAATTCTTTAAAAATAGGTAAATTCAACACTAAAGACTGAATCAAAAAGCCTACATACAAATTTATACATAAAGTCAACATTTTGAAAAAAACATATTTGTATGGAAGATAATATAAGAACAAGTCACTATTTTCATCATTAATCCTGAGTTACATGTCCTCCAAATGCTCTCATAACACCCTTCATCTTCCTTAATCAAGCACTTTTCTTGCTCTATCATAAATGTTTGTTTATTTATTTGCATATATACAACTATACTACATTTATAATTTTAACAAGGATAGAAATCACATCTTTTCCTTATCACTATCTCTCGAAGTCCAATAAACTGATAAGCACATAATAGGCACTTAGTAAATATTTGTAAAATGAATAAAAAAGGAAAAAAATCACATGGTAGAAGTTCAAAACAATCTATACATTAAGTATTATTGCCTAAAATAGACAAAGTAAAATCTATATGATCACAACACTTTTATTTCACATTTTAATTACAGTTTAGTATTTTGGTTTATAAAACCTCAGTTAAGAGGTGATATTTGTATGTATCTCATTGGTTTGGGTTTATTTAAGGGTTCCTTGCCCCAAAAATGTTTGAAAATCACTGATTTAGAAGACTAGCAAATGTAGCAATTAGGCTAGACAGGTTAAATCTTTTCTTTTGGTTTATCAGTATTTCTACAACAATTTGCAGAAACTACTAAATAACTCAATTACTTGCCAATAAACTAATTTCTCTAGCAATACATATCCATTCCTGACAGCAAGTACCAAAGCTATCTTTCTTATGATGCCATTTGGAGCACTAGAAATGATTTTTAATTCAAAAAGCTTTCCAAAGGACATGACATAAGGGAGGAACAAGTCATCCACATATCCTGAAATAATCAGGAAACAGCACCTGGTTCCTAATCCTGCTCCAGGGTTAGATAAAGAAGGAAACTGAGGAAACTGATTCATATTCTTAACCATGGAGCAGAGAGAAGAACATATATAGTTGTCAGAGTTAAGATGTCTTTGAAAGGGCAAGTTTCTGATAAGCAACTTGTATTTCTTAAGAGATGAGAATGCATCATCCCTAATAGCAAACATCCACAGTTATCTATTCAAGACAGATTAGGACCAAGGAGAGTATTCTTCAAAGTGAGGGACAAAAGATAAGTGACTGCCCAAGGACTCTTAGTAAGAGATACTTAAGAAATTGATATCATCATACTAATTTTGAAGTATATAACAATTTCAAACAAGCACCCAGTTTCCTCATAACAGTAAACCAAGTTAAAAGCAGCAGTTTCCCAGTCAAATGGTGATGGTGGTAATAACAAAACCACAACATTATGAATGTATAATAATTACATGTTGTATAATTTGAGAAAAACATCAATTCTGGGAAACTATTAAGGCCAGTATCTTAGTCTTGTTTTCTAGCTAATTCTCCATTTTGCATAGGTGATGAAGAAAAACTTGTCAAAATCACCCTAATAGGAAGCAGTACAGATGGAGGTAGAAACATAGTCTTTTAACAATACAACACTGTCTGTAATTACAGAAGTATGAACTTCCAGATCTAGGAACACAAAATAAAACTCCCTTATAAATACAACATATTATGGAGTAAATTAGAAAGAACAAGGATTTTGGAAGTACATATGAATTTGGATTTTAATTTTGCTATTTACTAGTTTATGACCTTTGACACTGAGATTCATTTGCCATCTATAAAAAGGAGCAAAATTCCAACTATACAGAGTTTAAGAATTTAATAAGAAATATATACATATATAAAGAACTAATGTACAAATGAATTAATGTACACATGAATTAATGTACAAAGGATGTTATCTAATCCTGACCACTGATAACAAGCAATAAATAGTAGAGTATTTTCTCCTTTCCTTTAAGTTAGTAAGAATTTAGGATCCTAGCACATCTAGCATGGCTCTGATTCTAGCACATCTAGCAGGGCTCCATAAAAAAGAACTGGAGATAGAACCCTCTAGGGTTCTTCCTCATCAGAGCTTGAGGCTTCTGAAGTAGGTAGGTAAGATAAACTACTTGGTCAAATTCTGTCTACAATTATGAACAACAAAAGGTTTAAATTCCTTCCTTTATTGTACCCTCTCCCTTTGTGGTAAAAGACACAGTTAAATGAGAAAAATGTTAAGAGGTAATAAAGATAAAGAAAGAAGGGAGTGAATAATAATAACCCCAAAATACTACAAGAAAGTCTGTTCTAGGGAAGGCAAACAGAATAACTTGTCTCCCTAGGAAATTAATGGTTATTATTTATTCAATTATAAAGAGAAGAGAAATGACTTGTTTTTCTAGGAATCCTGGACATATTAAACATGAAAGAAAAAAGTAAGATCAGGAAGTCAGTAGTTGAGAAAATACCCAGGAATCTCACTAACCAAACAAAAATGAAAGTAAATGCTCCAAAAGGATTCTCTTTTACAGAGGACAGAAGGACTTTATTCTTTATCCCCTTATCTTTTAGCTTGATACTACTAAGCAAGAAGGATCTGAAAACACTAAAGAAGCTGTTAAGGAGAGGAAACTAAAGATTAAAAGGTTCACATGGGTTTTTCAATCATTCTAGATGCTAGAAACATATGCTTCTCCCTTAGGTCATGTCTCCCAAAATAGCATTTCAAAAATACCAAATGGCACAACAAAGATATACCTACCAGCTGTCAGGGATGTCTCAAATCCATCTTTAAATGAAACAGCTGAGACTCTACTTCTTCATATAACTTTGAACTGCTACAAGTGTAAAGGGTATTATTTCTTACACTGGGAAGAGGGCAGGAAAGAATAGGCAAATCAATGAATTATGTATGGATTCAATTTCAAGTTAGTCATTTGTTTCAAATAAACTATTCTACTTTGATTCACGCCATTAGTACTCAATAGCAAAAGAACATGAATTTAAAATGTTCATAATCCAATAGGATGCTGTCTCTTTTATATAATCATGTATAAATAATTTTAAAAAGTTATTTAAACTAGCAATTTATGTTCTTTACAAGTATGCTATTGCCCTGCCCATCTATAGACAAGTTATCTATAAGTGCCTAACAGTCAAATAGAATAACCCTAAAGTCTAAATATATTTCTTTTAAAGGAAAATTTAGATAACTTTTCCAAATTCCTGTATCCTTTTCACAATCTAAATGTGTAATACATTAATGTTAAAATAAACATTATCAATCTGTTAGTAGCAATGGGGATAGAGGAAAATAAACTATTGGACATACCCTATGTAATATTTCTAAAACCTTTAATGCAGTGTGAAGAAAACTGTTGAAAATTCTTCGTTCAGAAGGGGGAATGCCGATCTTGTAGAGTTTCAAAAGATGTACCACAACTTCCTTAAAAAGTTCTACTATCTTGAGGAATAGTGGAGGTTCAAGTACTGACCACCAGTTTTCTGTTATTAAAGGGTGAACATGCAAATAAAATGAATTTTAAATATCACAATTTTCAAAATTATATTGACTTTCTTCTAAACCAGTGACTCAGCTCTTTAAAAATCCCAGAAAGATACACATTATACAATATTTAATGTAACATTTTTAAAGATTTATAGGCCCCACTCCACCCCCTCAAGTTAAACTCTACAAACTTCTCAAAAGCAAAAATGAAGGAAAATCTATTGAAGTCACTTTTTGGTTTCCTAAATTATGTTAAAAATTAACCATTATACTTAATATGAAATCCAGTTGTTAAAACTGCTTTGGAAATTAGAATTTTAATTTCTAAACAAAACACTTTAAAATTGAATTGTTACAATTTAAGAATATTTCCAAATTTTAGCTTTCAACTTAACATAAAATTCAAGTATTATAAAATTCCTTTAGAATACAATACTCATGAAATTCAAAGAGACACAGAAACAATACAAAGTATAAATTATCTGTCCTTCCCCACATTCGTACTTAATATACTTAGTATCTCCAAATATCACAATCATATGAAGCAGAAAGAACATAAAAACTTCTGACAAAACAGAAACAATAGAGTCCTGCTTCACTGTTTTATTATTGACTAAGTGCTTCAGATTTGTTCTCCTTACTTGCTTCCTCTGCTCACCCTCAGCCTAAAATTTCTTACACTGATTTTATTATTCCTCTGTATCTCAGCTTCCCTTACCTAACAAAAACTATTAGAAGGGTAAGCACTGATTTAAATATACCAAACAAACTAAACTACATAAAGGCCAGGAGACGGGGATGAAATTGACACAAATAGAAAAATTAAAGAAAAGTTTAGACTAAAAAAACCAAAGCAGATAGAGATAGAACTATAAAATTACATGATTTGCATAATTTCACCTACACAGATAAATAAAATCAAACATCAGGAAAATAGCAAATAAGAGGAATGGAAGGCAAAGGGTTAACAGAGTTCAGAGGACTTAAAACCCAAGTTTGTTTAGTTTTAATTGTTCCTCCTCCTTTAATAGCAAGATCACTGTGAAGGGGATGAGGAAGGGGAATATGGAAAACAGTTATCATCTTTCCTGATACTGTCTCTGCTGTTGTGGTTAAAACTTTTAACATTAAACATGATCTGCCTCCAACAGCTAGCATCACATGAATAGAAAAAAATAACAAAAGGAAAAACAGGATTTTTCCCCTCTACATAATGATAAATAAGCAGAGTAGCAAAATTTCCAACAGTAAAAAACAATTAATGACCATTTTCACTTAAAGGTAAAAGGATTCAAAGGAAAAAAAATATTAAAATTCTTACCAAGTACTTTCAGTGGTGCCTTTTCGAGGTTCACAAGAGCTGCACCGAAGGGAATTGCTATTGTTGTGAAATTATTGGAATCACTCATCAGGGGACATTCTGGTAGAGTAAGATAAAATCTCAATGCTTCAACATCAGGTAAGGAGCTAGTCAGTTTAGGAATAAGATTCTTTTCCAAACTAGCTGCCACCTATATTTTGATAAAAAGTAAAACCTACTTCATTTAAAATGAATGTACTTTTCAAACAGTAACTCATACTACAGCAAACATGAAATTGTATAAAAAAAAAATCTTACAATGAATCAATGAATGAACTTCAGAAAATGGTGAAAATTAATGCCTAAGCATTGCTGAAAATTTTTTAAAAATCTTGTGTGCAAGTCTCAATTTTGATTCTCTACCTCTACAGCAATATAAAGACAGTCAAAATGGTAATTTTTTAAAGATTTATTTATTTATTTATACAAGCACTGGGAAAATGGTAATATTAAGTAACAAATTAAGTAAGGTTTGTAGATATTTGGTAACTAAATTACAAATGCTTTTTTTAAAACTCTCATTTTAATATTTTTAGTGAAATCATACAAAATACATCATAAGAACATGAAATTATAGAATTGGTTAGGCTATAAACATTTAAAGTAACATGGAGCAAAAACTCAACAGGCTTTATATTACAAATATAAAAGTTTAAAAACAAACCTGCTGAGATATCTGAGGATGATCAGGTTGTATAAGTTTGTGGAATAAAAGCCTAGCAGCATTCATATCAACCCCTGAAAATCTGGTACCTGTTCTATAGTGATCATCATTGCTTAAGGAGAGAAAAAGAGAGAGAAATAATAAAACATTAACATTATTTCACTCCTTATTTAATATATTACTTAATATAATAAATTTGAAATTTCAGCATGCCAAAAAATTGTCACTTACCTAACAGCTAAAAAACTTCCATTTAAGCAACCAGAGGAAGAAAATGTTCCATCTATTTCACTAAAAAGAAAATTAAATATTTACTATTTAATGCAATTAGACTATATCAGAATTCCATAAATTACTAAAAATTTATTAAAATTTTGTAAAGTCATTAGTTTACCCTACACTTTCTCAAGCAAGTCAAACGTTCTTAAACATATTTTTAAAATGTAAACACGGACATTTCATTTCACATGGTGGTAATGTGAATCTGCAATGTTATTTTTTTGAAGTCTATTTAGGCTTTTGAGAAAAGTTTTGTTTGGGTAAATAATTAAAACAAAATAAGCTTATCAAAGATAGCACCTCACTCCAAGTTTCAGTACCACCACCAACAACAAAAAAAAAAACCCTAAGTACTTAATAAATTTAACTGTAAGCAAAACACGCAAGAAAAGAATGGATACTTCTTTTTAATATCAAATCTTTCAGGGAACATAAAAGTTAAAAGCCAGTGACTATTATGACGTTAGAAAGAATGTATTTCAAACCCAATTCTGACGGTTATATTAAAATTTTTATCATTCAACATATCATGTGTATGAAAGTACTGCAACATATAAATTTAATCATGAGACATCTTAAAATATAGAAATTTTACACATTTAAATTTTTGTATGTAACCTACTCAGTGAGTGATATTTAATGAAGTATTCATTTAAATAAAAATTCAGAATTATAGGTTGCTCTACCACTAGTTGCTAGGTTGTGTTTGCATAAAATGTTTTTCTTACTTGGCTATCTCCACAGGAAACCTTCCAGGGGGGTAGCTCAGCCATTTTTGAATTAGAATTTCATTCACAGTCCAGATTTGCTTTGAAGGATCAGGACATCTAAAGTCATCTGGTGGCCCACAGTTCTAGATTTTAAAAAAGATGAACCAGTGTGAAGAGTTACTACACAATATAACTTAAAATCAAGACATACCTCCACTGCGTGTTTGCTCTTTATAAAAAACTCAAGTAAAAACTAAACACTTATCAAATGGATGAGAAAAAAATTGTAGACTTAAAAATTTAAATCAACTATCAAGTCAAAATTAAGGCAACTATTTTAAACATAAAAAACATCAATATAAGTTTAAAAATTCTTCAAAATTAGTTGAGCTTAGTAATTATACAAGTGACTATTATTACCTGGGGATTAGAGTAATGTGAAAAGCTTTGATCTCCACCTGAGAAAATTCTTTTTACACAGAAATATTCCTCAGAATCTGTAATAAAAATATTAAAAAGTCAAGATTTATATGACATTTTTTCAGTGCATCAAATATGATATTAGATTTTCTCTTAATTACATAACTTAGAGCACCTACTCATGGACTCATGCTATAAAATGACTTGGAACATTCTGATTGTTATGGAGATGAGACTGACCAAGCAACAAACATTAAATGATTCCATAAGCATAAGCAGGAGTTAGGAAGTTCACAAGTTTTTCTTTTGGATTGTACAAAAAAATGGCTGTTTCTTGTCTGTACCTTTATTATCTCAATATATTTTAGTTTAAAGTGAAAAACATATAAAAATGTAAAACTGATCAGAAGAAAATAAACTTTATAATGCAAAACCATTTTCTCTTTCAATATATCATTCAAAAGTAAGGAGACAGGGCCTCCCCGGTGGTGTAGCAGTTGAGCGCTGGGTTGCAAAGCTGCCCACAGCCTCTGCAGTGCCGGTTCGATCCCCGGCCTCTAGGCGAGGGTCCCACATGGCGCGCAGACCTCTCCTGCCACCCGCTGCTCCTCTCAGCAGTGTACTTCGTCATTCTGCCTGTTCTGCTCCCTGCTCTGGCTCTGGTGAATTCTCTCACCCTCCCGCCCTTCTGACTGTACCCAGTGCTTGTATAAATAAATAAATCTTAAAAAAAAAAAGTTTATAAAGAAAAAAAAGTAAGGAGACATACATAGCTTTTTTGTTGGCAACAACTTATCAATAAAACCAAATCAGGTCAAAAATAGAAAAAACAATAAAGTAATAAAGAAAGAACAATACACTTCTTTTTCAAAAAGTTATCCAAAACCTCTTCCTTTTTCTTCTGCTCCTCAAGGTAGAAAGAGTATGAAGATACTGGTAGGCCAGTATTTAAAGTCATCAATACTAAAATATCAAAGCTCCATACTACAACTTAAGGTTAATTATTTCCAAATATAATCCATTTCTGTCATATTCCTGACCACAACCATTTAGTTAACTGAGTATTCAATCACCTAGTACTATTGTGACTATGGCTGCTACAGATTTAAAACTACTTAAGAAAGGTACCACATCTTAGTATTTGATAATTCTCTACAAGCAAACACAATGTTTTGTTTGCAAGAGAACTCAATATTTGTTAAATAACTAGTTTAAAGTAGTAAGAGCTGGGCCTCCCCGGTGGCGCAGTAGTTGAGCGCTGGGTTGTGAAGCTGCCCGCAGCCTCTGCAGCGCCGGTTAGATCCCCTGCTGCTCCCCGGTCCCACATGGCGTGCAGACCTCTCCTGCCGCCCGCTGCTCCCCTCAGCAGTGTACTTCAGTCCCTCCGCCTGCTCTGCTCTCCTCTGCCTGCTCTGCTCTCCTCTGCCTGCTCTGCTCTCCGCTCTGGCTCTGGTGAATTCTCTCACCCTCCCGCGCTTCTGACTCTACCCAGTGCTTGTATAAATAAATAAATAATTCTTTAAAAAAAAAAAAAATAAAGTAATAAGAGCTTGGGTTCAGACCATTAATATGAACACATTTCCCACAAGCAATAAAAATGTTCTAAAATCAAAAACAACTTTTAAGAACAGATTAAAAGGGTAAAACTAAAATATTAAATAAACTGATCATTCTTGACAAGGCCACATGAAAATGTTCACTTCCTCAAAAGATTTAGCAGGATGTTACTCATTTATTCCTAAATTGTGAGTTTGCTTTCTATAAATAATTATCAAAATTTTTGACTGAAACTACAGTACACATGAATGGGTTTCTAGGGACTGTGAATAGAGTATCAATAGTTTATTTCCTAATTTTCCTTTAATTATTACTTCAAAAAGTTTGTGAAACTTAGTCATTTGTCTCATACAGTATCTGGCAGACTGGATTCTCCCTCTATCCCGAGGTTTCTCCTAACACTGATCTTGATTGTTTGCATTCCTATAAATTGGCAGGAATCTAAAGAAGCTAATTAGAATTTGATTATATAAGTAAAATTATCACATGGTGTTGGTAGAGACTGTACTTCCATAAGGAAGCACATAATGTTTGGCTGGGTATTTTTGTGTGTGTTATTAGCAGACACTGATGTTCAATGCTTAAACCATTAATTCACTGTGGGTTGAAAAATGATAAAATACTAACATTGCTTCTTCATTTTGCAGATGGACCATTAGTTTCCCCCTAACATTAACATAGTTTCTTGGCCTATAATAGGAAAAGAAGGATCAATGCTTCCTCTTTCCCATTTATTTATTATGTGCTTGTTTTTGAGTTTGCATTCCTTTGATAATAAAGGGGGCAGTAATATTTGCATTCTTTTTAAGTAAAATGAACTTCATTTTGGGACTTTCCATTAACTTCCTTACTTGTTAGGTGTCTTAATACTTGTTTCATTTATTAGGCATCTTACTGTTTTTCTCACCAATGCGTATGAATACTTTGGATACTCAGGCTATCAGCTTTAGGTTGTATTTGCTACAAATATTTTTCAAAAAACAATATTGTTTTTCCAATCAATCAAATGTATTTAACCCATCCTATGATAATTTATGCTGCCATTACTATGGAAAGAAAGGCTTGTCCCATCCTCAATAGAATTATTTTATAGCATTACTTTCATAGAACTAACATCTTAAGAACATTTATACATTTAAATCTTTAATCAAGCTAAAATTTATTTTAGTGTATATATTAGGTTAGGATTCAAATTGACTCCCTCCCCCCTCAAATTTTCATGTGTTGAGAAATTCATCCCCATTCACAGATTAGTAATGCCTTTTAAAGTTTAAACTTATACAACTCTAAACAATTCTGGCACTCTTCAAAGTCCTTCTTAACACATATCTCTAAGAGATATTATCAATCACCTAGAGTTTGACACTGACACAAAATCTATATAAAATGTCTACACAGAGATTTTCCACCCCCCCCCGAACTCTCCACTAAGTTATAATTATCTGAATGTCTGTGAATATACCAATAATCTAATATAATTGTTATTGTATTATAGTATATGATGTCATATCTAGGAGGGTCAGTTCAATTTCTCCCTACTCTTTATAAAATATGTTATCCAAAAAAAACCTGTCTTTTTTTTTTTTTAAATAGGCCCTCCTGCCAAAAAATACTTGAGTCTTTTTTTTTTTAACTGAGGTAACATTGGTTTACATGATTTATGGGACTAGATTCACACATCCTCAGATGTACGCCACCACACCACATCCACCACCAAGGCACCCATAGTTCTTTACTAGACTATTAAAAACCTTTCCTCCTTTGGAAAAAGGAACTCTCCTACACTGCTGGTGAGAATGCAAATTGGTCCAACCACTGTGGAAAGCTATGTGGAGATTCCTCAAACCATAAAAACAGAGCTACCATATGACCCAGCAATTTCACTCCGAGGAATCCACCCAGAGGACACAAAAACATTAACTCAAAAGGATACCTGCACCCCTCTGTTTATTGCAGAACTATTTATAATAATTAAGATATGAAAACAACCCAAATGCCCAAAAATAGATGAATGGATCAAGAAGACATGGTATATATACACAATGGAATACTATTCAGCAATCAAAAAAGATAAACTCATGCCTTTGACAGCAACATGGATGGATCTAGGAGGGATTATGCTCAGTGAAATAAGTCAGAAGGAAAAAGAAAAATATCAGATGGTGAAACTTATAGGAGGAATATAGGTGAATCAAATAAGGGATCAAGGGAAAAAATAGTAACAATAAAAAAATTAACAGGCAACTATAAATCAGAGACATTCTACAGGGGAGAGGGAGGGAGAGGAATCAAAACAGGGGAAAGAAGAGCACAAGGGACTATGGTGGTGGGAATTCTATGGAGACTATACCTGACAGGAGAAAGCAAACATTGTACAAAAATGAACAATAATGTAAAATATATATAAATTATATTATAATTAAAAAAAAAACCTTTCCTCCATTGTAACCATCCCCCACTTTCCCTATTCGCAAGTAGCTTCAATTCTGCAGGCACATTTTTAGGGTTTGTTTTGGTTTAATTTTGTCAGTTCCTTGTTTTTTTCCTACATTTCACATGAGTGAAATCATCTGGTATTTTTCTTTCTCCTTCTAACTTATTTTTAATATATTGTAAATCCTCCATACATAGTTTCCATAGGGGCTAACAGTTAAAACACTTCCCACAAATAGGGTACAGATACCATTTTTCTTCACATCTTTCTCAACACTTCACACAAACAGTTAACATACAACAAAGAAGCCCAGAGTATACAATGGAGAAAAGAATGTCTCTTCATCAAATGGTGCTGGAAAAGCTGGACAACTATAGACGAGAAAATGAATTAGATCACTATTTCACACCATAATAAAAATTAACTCAAACTGGATTAAAGACTTGGATGTAATACCTGAAAGCATAAAATACCTAAAAGGAAACATAAATAGAATACTTCACAACACTGGTTTCAGGGATATCTTTGGGGACTTGGCTATAACAGCAGAAAAACAGTAAACATACACAAAAAAATGGGACTACATCAAAGCAAAAAAGTTCTGTACATCGAACAAAACTATCATTAAAATGAACAGACATCCTACAAGTGGGAATCAGACTTTGCATATCATACATTAGACAAGCGGCTATTATCCAAGATTTACAAAGAACTCACACAACTTAACATAAAGAAAACAGTCCAATGAAAAGAAAATGGCCAGAAAAGCTAAATGGACCTTTCTCCAAATAAGACACACAGATGGTCAAGGGGCACATAAAAAAAAAGGTGATTATCACTTATCAGGGAAAAACAAATCAAAACCACAATGAAATACCATCTCACACCTGAGAAAATGGCAAATATTAAAAGACCAGAAGTAAAATGATTAATTTTCAAACTCCATCTCTTTTCCCATTCTACTGCAAATAATCTCAAGTTTCAATAGTGACAAAATGCATTTTTAAATGACTAAACTCTACATGATTTATTTCAATATTCATGCTGCTTTAAATTACAAAATCGTTTTGTTAAGGTATTAACAATGCCTTTTGTGGGAGAAACTGATAGGACAAAACACCAGCATGCTGTTAGGGACACCAGAAGAACAATACTACTACTGAAATAACTGCATGTTTCAAACCTAAGAGTAACTGAGGAAAAAAAATGAGGCTCCATTCTGAACACAAAATCAAACAAAAAGAAATAAGAAAAACAGTATATCCTGACCTGTACTAGATAAAAGCATAATTGAAATAGCCTTTTAGTTACCAAAAAAAATACTTTCAATAAATAAAATCAAGGTTATTTATAATAAAAAGCTTGGATTTTTTTCAAAAGTTAACCTTCATAGTTGGAGCATCACTGAACAATAGACTCTAGTCCAAAGACTCAACAAACTCAGAGAAAAATCCCAAAGAAAATCAGATATGAAACATGAGAAAACAATTCTGAGGTATGATTTAGGATGTATAAAAAGAAACAGGGAAAAATTCTACTCTTGTTTACTGTGTTTCTTCCCTTATATCTCTTTTACTCTCACATTACTACCTCACTCATACAGAATACATATGATACTTGCAGTCCACAAATGTGTGGAAGTTTCACTCATACCAAGAAATTCCACAACACCAGCAGGATGTTGTGTTCCTACATTGAACACAATTCAACTCAATTCTGATATTATCTGCCAGAAAATGGTATCATCTGATAATATCAGATTTCACAGGTTAATGATTCAGTCATTCAGACAGCCTTACTATCACTTCAGAAGTGAGTCTTGAGGCCAGACTGTTACTTTTGCTTCCTACTAGCCAGCAACAGACTGGAGGTTCCAATTCCTCCTGCACGCTAGATGCCAGTCACAAGTCCAGGTTGTACATGTACTTTTGACTGACTAGCTAGTAATCAGAAGTTTCCCATAACCGCGTCCTTAGATTTGATTAATCTGCCAGAGTGGCTGACAGAACTCAGAAACATTTTATGTTTACGAAAAAAGTTTATGATAAAAGTATATGATAAAAGGATACAAATGAACAGCCAGATGGAAGAGAAGTATAGAGCAAGGTATATGGGAAATACATGGAGCTTCCATGTCCTCTCTGGTACATCGATGTCTCCGCACCTCCAAGTATGTATTCACCAAACCAAAAACTCTCCAAACCACATACTTTTGGGATTTTATGGAGGCTTCATCACATAGGCATGATTAACTCCACTTCTAGCCCTTCTCTTTTCTCAAGAGATTGGGAGGAGGGGCTGAAAATTCTAAGTTTCTAGTTTGGGTTTGGTCTTTTTGGCTTCCCAGTCCCTATCCAGGAACCAATCAAGAGCCCACCAAGAGTGGCCACCTAGTATTCTTATCACTCAGGAATTTATTAGGGTTTTGGGAGCCCTGTATCAGGGACAGAAGCAAAGATAAATATTAGAACAAGAAAGTATACCTAGTGCTCCTATCACTTATGAAATTACAAGTTTTCAAGAGCTTTGTGGCAGGAACCAAGGAAAGAGAACAAAAATTTTTTTTATTATCTCATAGGATGGTAAAGGAAAATTTTTTTAAAGCATATTTTGGTTGTAGCCTGTCAAAGTAGATGAGAAAACAATATTTAAATATTTCAAACTCTTTTTTGGGGGCCTCCCTGGTGGTGCAAGGGTTAAGCACCACACTATGAAGCAATCTACAGCCTCTGCAGCACAAGTTCGATCTCCGGCCAGCCAGGGAGCAACCCACATGGTGCAGCAGACCTCTCCTGACTCACCTGCTGCTCCCCTCAGCAGTGTATTTCAGTCAGTCTACCTGTTCTGTTCCCCACTCTGTCTCTGGTGAATCCTCTCACTCCCCTGCATCTCTGGCCTATACCCCAGCTCTTGTATGCATAAATAAATAAATCTTTAAAAAAAAAAAAAAGATGGAATCCATCCAATCATCCATTATAGTTGAACACAGTAATAAAATTTATTATATACACATACAGTATTATTCAGCCTTAAAAAGAAGTAAGTTCTGATACATGCTAGAACATGAATAAACCCTAAAGACATGATGCTGGTAATGAAATTATCCAGTCACAAAAATACAAATGTAAGTGTTTTTACTTAAATGAGGAAGCTAGAGTTAAGTCAAATTCATAGTCAAAGTATAGATGGTAGACACCAGCTAGGGGGAAGGAGTAAATGAAGAATTATTTAATGCATACAGAGTTTTAGTTTTTATAAGATGAAAGTGTTCTGGGGTCTGATACACAACAATGCAAATGTACTTACACCACTACTGAACTGTGCACTTTAAAATTAAGTTCAAAAAATTTTTATGTGTATTTTACTATAATTAAAAATAGAAACACTCCCTTCCCACTGACATCTAGCCACTACCCAGTTTCCATATGTCCAACCCTCGGAAAGCACTTTTATTAATTTATTTATAAGCTTCCTTACACATATTGTATAAGATTGTTAGACCCAATGCAGCATGGATGTGAAGGTTTCACCACATCAAGTCAGCTCAATTCTGATGCTACCTAATAAAAGATAGCATCAGATTCCCCTGAGTAGGATGGGCTCAGTCTGCCAAGGCCACTCTCCACTTCAAACACTAGTCACAAGTCACGGTTATTACCTTGCTTCTCACCAACTGGTTATAGATCAGAGATTCCCAGGAGCTTCTCCTCAGGTTCAACTAATTTGCAAGAGCAGCTCAGAGAACTCAAAAAACTTTACATTTATTCACTAGAGCACAGATTTCTTACAAAGATTAGTATTCAGAGACAGCAAGATGGAGGAGATACATAGGGCAAGGTATGGAAAAGAGGCATGCACCATTGGTGGTCTCTATATGAGTGCCATTCTCCTCAAATCTTCAAGTTCATCAACCAGAAGCTCTTTAAAAATGTTCTTTTCGGATCTTTTATAGAGGCTTATTACAAAGTCATAATTGATGAAATTACTAGCCCTGGCAACTGACCTCAAACTCTAGCCTTTCTCCCCTCCCAAAAATGGACCAATCACCCCATCTTAGACTTAAAGTTACATCCTCAATTCATGTTAGTTTCCTTGGCAACCAAACCCCCCCCCACCAAGTATTTTTCCTAAAGTTACCTTCATTAACATAAACCCATTAAGAATAACATGATACCCATTTAAACTTTCATAGCTCAGAAACTGTCAGGAACTGACTATAAAAGACTAAATATTATTACAAAGATATTCCCAATGTTTTTATTACTCAGGAAATTCCAATAGAAGCTATGAAATAAAAGAAACTCCCAATGCTATTAATGGCTCAGTACATTCCAAGGATTTTGGAAGCCATTAGCCAGGAACTATGGATAAAGACCAAAAATATAAAGAATATACTCTGGAAGTCTGACTGCCTATACGTAAACACACACACACTTCTTATAAACCATAATTATTTGACCATAAAAGCAAATATAAATAAAACAACCAAATATACTACCTGTGTCTATTTTCACTCAATAATATCAAAATTCTTTCATTTCAAACAAAAAGCTTAATCATTTAAGAGTAACATTTTAATGATATCTTTAATGTGTGTTCTAAAGCTTTAACATAACATAACTTACCAATATCTGGTGGATATTGCCCATTATATGGGAACCAATTTCCCTTCACAGTGAAAGGACTTTTCCTGTTGCTTGTTGAACCAGTTCCAAGTTGCCCATTACCACCAAGTCCAAAAGAATAAATTCGTCCCGATGAAGGAACAAAAGCAGAAGTGTGCTGCCTAGAGTAAAATGATAGAAAACCTCAGACTTAATGCCACCTTCCAATTCACATTTTTAAAAAAGCACAGCAAATATTAATTTTTCCTTTTCAAGAGCAAATTACTAAAGTCATTATAGCTGTTAAGTTTCCATTAAAATATTCATTAATAGGGCCTCCCAGGTGGCGCAGCGTTTGAGCGCTGGGTTGCGAAGCTGCCCGCAGCCTCTGCAGCGCTGGTTCGATCCCCGGCTGCTCCCCGGCCACCGGAGGAGGGTCCCACATGGCGCGCAGACCTCTCCTGCCGCCCGCTGCTCCCCTCAGCAGTGTACTTCGGTCCTTCTGCCTGCTCTGCTCCCCGCTCTGGCTCTGGTGAATTCTCTCACCCTCCCGCGCTTCTGACTGTACCCAGTGCTTGTATAAATAAATAAATAAATAAATAAATCTTTAAAAAAAAAAAAAATAAAATAAAATAAAATATTCATTAATAACTTTATACTAAATGAATTCTATATTCCATAAATAGGCTGCATAAGCATGGTCAAGAAAATGTACAAAAATGTTCAAATTTTGAAAGGCTCTGACTTATCCTGAAAACCACTATAGTAGATGATTCAGCACTAGAGATAGTGTCTAACCATGTTCAATTCAAGGAAGTTTCCCCCCCTCCCTTTATTCACTGTCAGGTTTTAGTCAAGAGCTATGATCTATGAAGGCCTACCATATGGGTACCATGAAAGGAATTAGGGATCCTAACTTTATATTTTAGGTTGATGGTCTGTTTATTATTGCTTCTGTTCACAGAAGTATAGACACAAGATAGGTAAACCAATCTTGTACCCTTTCTGATCACTGTTACAAGCCTATCTCCAACTAGATGAGGAAACTTCTAGAGGATTTAAAAGGCTGGCACTTTATCCCCCTTTATTTCCACCCTCTCCCTTTTCCCATACCCCCTTTTTTTTTTTTTTTTTTTTGGGCTTTACCCCCTTTTGGGAGTCAAATATTTAAGATCTAGAACATTCTAAAGTAACTGCATATACAGGGCAATTTAGAAAGTCACTGCACATGCCTAGGAAAAAATCAGCAAACCTAGAGGAGGGAGAGAATCTGATTTCCAATGTTACCACATTATAAGGTTCAAATATCAAGTTAAAAAAAAAAATCACATGGCACAAAGAGAAAGTGGAAAGTATGGCCCATTGACAAGGAAAAGGAAGCCAACATAGGAATGCAAAACCATACAGCCACTTTGGTTACTTGCTAAATAAACAGTATTATGCTCTCCATTATTTATTCAAAGGTTAAATCTTGTTTCCACACAAAAAGCTGCACTTGGATATTTATAGTAGTAGCTTTATTCATAATTGGCAAAATTTAGAAACAACCAAGATGTCCTTCCAGTAGGTGAGTGAATAAACAAAAGTATGGAACATCCAGACAATGAAATGTGGAGATATTTGATAGGAGAACCTACTGTAACCTCAATTAAAACAAATAAATTTCTTTAAAAAAAAAAAAGTATGACAGTTTATAGAAATGCAAAGATTTATATCATATATCAGATATTATATGCCATCATATATAAATATTCAAAATGGCATTATTGGTACTTGCCAAAAAATGGAAACACCCAAATGCTCACCAGTAACTAAATGAGTAAATTACATATACATATAATTGAACAAAATACAGCAATGAGATCAAGTGATAGAAACCATAGGTATACAAATACGCATAGTCTTACAAACATTTTTTTAAATACAAATATTTTTTTAAAAGCCACTAAAGGCCATCTACCATATGATTCCACACATTTGAAATTAAGAGTTGGCAAAACCTAACTATAATGTATACAGATATATAATAACTGGGAAAAAATGTAAGCTAAATAATCAGAATTGAATTAACTAGTCAAGCAAAGTACATTCTGCTTCTTGGGAATGTGTCTAACTTAATCTATCAAAGAATTTTACAGCTCCCAAGAATGGGAACCAGTAAATCAGTATTCTAATTCAACTTTCACCATAACTAATCTTTCTTGTTAAATAACTAACAGGCCAATTTCCTCATTTAAAAAAAAAAAAAAAAGGGAAAGATGATTTATAGTTTCCATACAAGTGATGCTAAATTAAGATGTAACAATACTGCATACATATGATTAACACATTGCCTCAGATAAATCTATTTCACATAAAATAATCAGTATAAAATGTGTCCCTCCTGGGCCTCCCGGGTGACATAAGGGGTAAAGACGCAACCTATGAAGTTATCCGCAACCACTGCAGCATGAGTTCGATCCCCGGCAGACCGGGAAGCTACCCACATGGTGTAGCAGACCTCTCCTGACTCACCCGCTGCTCCCCTCAGCAGTGTATTTCAGTACATCTGCCTGTTCTGTTCCCCACTCTGTCTCTGGTGAATCCTCTTACCCTCTGCACCTCTGGCCTGTACCCCAGTTCTTATATGCATAAATAAATCTTTAAAATAAATAAATAAATAAAAATAAAATGTGTCTCTCCTGTTACTATAATTCTCCAGCAGCAATTTTTTTGTATTTTTTTTTTTACTTTTAAATGTAGTACTTTGTTTCTATATCATTGTTAATTTTTCCAGCAGCAACTGAGAGAGAATAATATTTAACACAGTTTACAAGATATCCAAACAATGCATTAAAAAAAATCCCTACTTTCAGCTGGAACCAACAATCTTTGAGTAAGTCTAAAAAAAGACCAACACAGGGAAAGAAAAGACACATACCCTATATATTTTCTAGGTCTTTTATAAAACACACGGTTGTTCCATCCAAATATACAAGAAAGACAATATTGTAGACATCAAAGAACTAAGCATAGTTCAGAAAAGGAACACACCATGGCAAAACTGGAAGAATTTACAATGTCACCCAGCATGCCTTTGGCATTTTTTTTGCAAACAAACACATTAAGAGCAAGATGCTTGGCAAGAGAATTTGTGACTATAGTAAGCACATTTAGTAATCTAAGATAGCTTCCTGAAATACATGAAGGAAAATGATCAGAGAAAAAGAAGCCAAGGAGAAAAATGCTTTAGTAAGTGCCTAAGTGCCAGCCTGCTCCACCCAGAGGCACACTTCATGAGAACCAATGAAAATAAGCCATAAGCTGCTGGAATGCACTCTATTTGAATTTATAGCATAAGAGGTATTAAAAAAAAATCATAAAAGAAGTCACAAAATTATTTTACAGAAATGAAAATACTCTTTTTACGTAATAGTTTACCTTCCACAAGCAATCTGAGTGACAATGCTTCCCATAAGTTCAAAAACTTTCCTTGGATTTATTTCATGACTGGTAGAATTGTGACCCAACTGACCATAACCTCCAGCTCCAAAAGTAAACACTCCACCTTCCTAAAAAAAGAAAGAAAAAATTCTTTATCATTAGAAGGCCTAACAAAAGAAAATAATCTTGGGCCTCCCCAGTGGCGCAGCGATTGAGCGCTGGGCTGCAAAGCTGCCCACAGCCTCTGTAGCACCGGTTTGATCCCCGGCCACCAGCGGGGGTCCCACATGGTGCACAGACCTCTCCTGCTGCACCTGCTGCTCCCCTCAGCAGTGTACTTCATCATTCTGCCTGTTCTGCTCCCCGCTCTGGCTCTGGTGAATTCTCTCACCCTCCCGCACTTCTGACTGTACCCAGTGCGTGTATAAACAAATAAATAAATAAATCTTTAAAAAAAAAAAAAGAAAGAAAGAAAATAATCTTTAGGAAAATAAATTAACTTTTAGTTTGAAGTCAATTTTTCTCTTATATAGACTTCTCAATTTAATACACTGATTCTCCAAGGCAAACTGTCTTAAAACAGAGAGTTCCAGGTTGAAAGCTAAGTATTTGCACATATTTCATAAGTTTTAAATTATGTTTTCAACATTATATTAAGTTGAAGTCATCATTAAAAAGATACTTAGTTTCAACATTACCTTTTATTATCAATTTACTCTTGTTGAATCCCAAGTATATATTATAAATTTTCACAAAATCTAAACATGGTATCACCTTCAGTGTTCAAATTAGCTATGCTTTTAAAATAAAAATTCTGCAAAAAAGCATACAGTTGGTACAAAGTAGGTGGCTTTCATGTATTTTATAAAAATACATAACCAGATTAGAGGTTATGTGTTTAAAATGTAATTTGTTATGCCAACTTAACAATAGCATGATTCATATTTTTTAATATAATTGCTCTTTCTTCACAGTTATAGCTACAATATACAATTTTAATGTATCATTTAATAGCATGTCTTTATACACACTGCTCTGTAAAGAAATGGACTTTTCTTTTTAAAACTTTTCATGATGGAAATTTCAAAAAAAATACACAATAGAAAAAAAATTATATGAACCATCATATAATTATCACTCAGTTTGAACAACTAACAAATATTAGGTTAATCTTGTTTTATCAATTTTTCTCCCACTTACAGATGGGAGAATTTAATGCAAAAATGTTCTAAGAACTTCCAGTAAACTGTGGTCATTAAATAATTCTGCCTTAAATGTATACCCATCTTCAAGCATATATCTCTTACAGACAAAAATATATAACCATAATACTACCATACTTACAAAATATTAATTTCAAAATCTTTTTTGATAGAAATAGCAAATGCTTTAATTTTTATTCTTTATGCTTTGTCATTGGCAGTTCTAGCTTTATTTAGATATCAAGTGAGAAATGAAATTGTATGTATTTAAAGTGCACAAAGTGATAGCTTGACAAATACATTGTGAAATGATTACCATAATCAAGTTAACACATCATAATTTTTTTTGTAAAAATGCTTTAGATCTACTCTTCAAAAAAATTTCAGTATGTAATACAGTATTGTTAACTATAGTTAACATACCACATACATTAGATCCTAGAACTTAATCAGTTCATTTGGAAGTTTGTACCTTCTCAACAGTATCTCCCCATTTCTCCTACCCCCACACCCAAACCGCCTTCTGACAACCACCATTCTATAAAGGACTTCACTGTGAAACACAGTTTGCAAATAAGAGGCAAGAAAAATGCTTCTTTCTCATTAATTTTTATAAAAATAAGTTGTTATAGAGCAACCTCCACAGAGAAGCAAAAAGCCTTGCTTTGTACTGATCTTGGGAAGAAGAGTACCACTAGGTAGTGATGAATTTTTATATATTTGATATGCTTCCACTTATTGCAGTTATTTATTGCAGTAAAAGCTCCTTTAAATTGTCCTTCTTACATGAACATAGTAGATTTTGCTTTTTTTGTAACACAAAATGCCCAAAACTATTCTTTTTTTTTTTGGGGGGGGGCCTTTAAACGATTTTAATTTCCAGGTGGAGTGGCATGGCAGAGGGCAACAAGCCTTAACTGTGCAGCTCAATCTGTGGGAAGAGTATGCACAGAGCTGCCAAAAGGTTCTGTGGCAGCACTAAATTGCAAGTACATCCTCCATCATGCTGGGATTGAAGCACAGGTAAATCAGAAGGCAATTCCAGATGACAAGGGTGAAAAGCGTGCCCAGGCTTGGTGTGGAAGTTTCCCCTCATTGTAGCTGTTCTTTGGGATACACAACATTTCTCACATTGACGGAGGGAATCCAGTGGGTCCTATTTAGCTTTCTGTAGTGTCAGCATCTTCTTATGAGGACCAGACAGTGCTCTATCTGCTCCATCCATTTTCTTAAGTTGGAGCGGTGGGTTTGTGTCAGTCTTTCTACTTAGCTGGAGTTCTGGCTGTTCCTTGATTCTCTTCTAAGGGGACTGGGGAGTCACAGAGGGGCAGGGTTGGGAAGACAATTTCCAACATGATGAGGAGAGAACCAGTAACATGGGTGACCATGGAAGGCCTTGACGCCAAGCCACTGGGGCAATAGAAAACAAGACTGCTCCTTGAAGTCGGAGTCTTCTGACCTCAGAGGACATTTAGCAAAGTGCAAGGAGGAGATTCTTTAGAGGTGAGGAGAGGTGGGTGCAGACTCCACTTACAGCTTGTTGTTCTTCCGAATATTTATTAAAACATTCATCTTGTCATCCATATCCTTCTGCATTTCCTTCATAAAATCCCCAAACTCTTGGAGTTTATCCAAGTCCTTGTCCATTACCAACTTTATCTGTTTCATCTCTCCTCCATTTTTCTTTTTTAATAAATTTTATTTTTATATTCCCTATACAATTGCAACCCCCTTATTTTGACCCCAATTCCTCCCCTCCCCGCCCCCACCTCCCACGAGTGTCTCTGGTTCATAGTTGTTTGTTGATTTTGATTTTCACTTTCTTATAGTTATTCATTTTCCTGGTCCCTTATTTAAGTTTTCTAGATTCCTGCTATGAGTGAGACCATCTGGTATTTTTCTTTTTCTTTCTGGCTTATTTCGCTGATCATGATTCCCTTCCAGCGCCATCCATGTTGCTGCAAATTGCATGTTTTTATCTTTTTTGAATGCTCAGTAATATTCCACGGTATATATGTACCACATCTTCTTGATCCAGTCATCTATTTTTGGGCATTTGCGTTGTTTCCAAAGCTTAGCTATTGTAAACAGTGCTGCTATAAACATAGGGGTGCAGGTGCTCTTTGGAATTGATGTTTCTGTGTCCTCTGGGTAAATACCTAGGAGTGGAATTGCTGGATCATATGGAAGCTCTATGTTTAGTAGGTCAAGAAATCTCCACACAGCTCTCCATAGTGGTTGGACCAGTTTGCACTCCCACCAACAGTGCAGGAGAGTTCCTTTTTCTCCACATCCTCGCCAACATTTGTTGTTGCTAGTTTTTTTAATATGTGCCATTCTCACTGGTGTAAGATGGTATCTCATGGTAGTTTTGATTTGCATTTCCCTGATTACAAGAGATGTTGAACATTTTTTTCATATGCCTGTTGGCCATTTGCATTTCCTCTTCAGAAAAGTTTCTTTTTGGCTCTTCTGCCCATTTTTTGACAGGATTATTTTCTTTGTTGTTGTTGAGTCTCATCAGCTCTTTGCAGATTTTTGTGATCAGTCCTTTATCATTAGTGTTGTGTACAAAAATGTTCTCCCAGTCGGTGGGGTTTCTCTTTGTTTTTGTTATTGTCTCTTTTGCTGTGCAGAAGCTCTTTAATTTGATGTAGTCCCAGCTGTTTATCTTTGCCTTCACTATCACTGCTTTGGGTGATGTGTTTGTAAAGATGTCTTTGAGGTGCATGTCATGTAGTGTTTCGCCTATATTTCCTTCTATGTATTTTATGGTTTCAGGTCTTATGTCTAGTTCTTTAATCCATTTTGAGTTGATTTTTGTGTATGGTGTGAGGTAGTCATCTCCTCCATTTTTCCTTGAGCTCTTCCCTCACCTCCCTGAGTTCATTCTTGAGCTCACATGTCCCTCCTGATTTGGCAAACAGCCCTTCTTCTTTTATACTCATATGTCTGGTACAGGTCTTGGCCACCAGGAACAGTGAATGATCCCTGACTCCAAATCATCTCTCTAGGGGTCTCAGGCCTGGCTGCCGGCATGGTCTCAAAAAGCTTTTCATTTTGGTCAGCTCCGGCTTCAATTTCAGGCAATCTGACTTGTAGTTCTTGTTCTGAATTGATAGTGAACCTGCCCACGCCTGCTGGCACTAGAAGCACCAACCTGGAAGCTCTCTCCCAAAGCTATTCTTAACATATCTTTTTTGCCCCAGATATGGGATCAGACCCCTCTAAGAAATCCTGGTTCCTTTTAGTGTAGGGTCTACAACAATTGAGTGACATGCTTCTAGACCGTACATGGTTAATTACTTCCAGGACTTTTCTGTAGCCATGGGGAGAAAAAAATATTTTTCAGAGAAAAATAAGAGCTTCTGCTGACACTGTGATTCAAAGTAAAGATCGCAAGCTTTTAACTTAAGTCCTACTGTTTTATACCTCTTTTAACACTGTGCATCTTTCCACTATAATGGTAATCCTAAGGAATAACATAAAAAATATTTTTACTATTCTTCCAAGTATCAATGACAGAAAAAAATGACCAAATGTATACCTTGCCCACATGATTTATGATTACTTTATGATTACATCTATAATTTGATAGTAAGTTATGATAATAAGATCAGTAGGTACAGCTCAACTTTCTTACTAAAGGCAAGACAATAAAAATTTTTAATAAGCTTTATAATCGGTCATGATATTTTTATATCTTGAGTACAATATATATCATAATGACTAGGAATTAGTCTTAGCATTCTAGAATTTCCAAAATGAGAGTGTTTATAATTTTATAAAGTCTGATTAGAAGTTAGTTTTTTCTTCCCAAATTTGTGCAACTTTACAGGACAAAGAAAGATAAGAAGCAAAACACTGATTTCCAATTTAGGCCGGGAAAAAAGTGCTAGTTCCTTTACAGGTACACAACTAAAATAAATGGTATTCTTGGTAAAAGTAGTTTAAAGTTATTTTCATTTTACTACTAACTGCTAGAGAACTATACAATACTTTTTGGCACATATGCAAGAAAGGAAGAGGTCACTGACAAAATGCTATAAATGCTATAAATGCTTGTTTGATCCATGACCTATGGATAACATGTAATCAGTCATTTCTTCTACTTTTTATATAATATTTATAAGACAAATGCAAGCAAAACTAAAAGTAGAGTTATGAACCATGAATATAATTGATAAACCCAACATGGAGACCCTGACAAACTAAAAATTATTTAAGCAATATTTCATTAAATTGAAAAATTCAACATTATACATTATCAGTACAATAGAAGATTACCATTCACATTTCATAAATTAAAATTGAAAATTTAGGTAAATTTTTCATAAGAAAACAATAATGTAGATCATTTATATTATCTTTCAGACATCAGTAACACTCAAGTTTTAATGTAATATTGTGAAAACATTAATTACTTATGAAATAACTACCATAAGTAAAAATAAAAAAGTTTTATAGGAGTACAATACCTTGGTTAGTGCAGCAGTATGATCTTCTCCACAACAAATATAAACTATTTTCTGTGTTCTTAGTGACTTTAGTAAATTAGGAACATACCTATCTGAAAATCGCAACAAGAAATGTTAACAGTATTTTTAAATTAAAACTCTTCTAAAATGTGTTTTCTCTAACTCAGTAGAGAGCAATGTCTAAAAAAATTTAACTATAGGGCCTCCTGATGCCCTAGGCTTAAGTCTCAGCACTATCACCACTATGGCCTGAGTTCAATCCCTGGCCAGGGAGCTAATCAACATATGGCGGAGCAGACCTCTCCAGTCTCGTCTGCGGCTCCCCTTAGCAGTGTATTTCAGTCAGTCTGCCCGTTCTGCTCCCCACTCTGTGTCTGGTGAATCCTCTCACTCCATGCACCTGTGGCCTATACCGCAGTTCTTCTACTAAATATTTTAAAAAATTTGTAGCTATGATTTAATGCTTTTGTTGTATAAGCCTACTAACTTGGGTCCCACGTCTTTCAATTCATGCTATTGTAATAAAGGAAGGGCTTAAATATAATTAAATCCCTGTAATTTAAATTTTTTTTTTTTTTATAGAGGCATGTTTTTATTTATTTATTTATTATATTTGTTTGTTTTGTTTATACATGCACTGGGTACAGTCAGAAGCGCGGGAGGGTGAGAGAATTCACCAGAGCCAGAGCGGGGAGCAGAGCAGGCAGAAGGGCTGAAGTACACTGCTGAGGGGAGCAGCGGGTGGCAGGAGAGGTCTGCGCACCATGTGGGATCCTCCTCCGGTGGCCGGGGAGCAGCCGGGGATCGAACCGGCGCCGCAGAGGCCGCGGGCAGCTTCGCAACCCAGCGCTCAACCGCTGCGCCACCGGGGAGGCCCCCCTGTAATTTAAATTTAATATGTTAAACTGTTTAAATGCCCCAATGCAATCAAGGAATTTCAAAACCATTTAACTGCTTCTAATATATATATGTAAAATATATATATTCTTGTGTATATATATGACTATACTCTTACACATACATATATATGTGTATAGTCTTATATACATACATACATATATATTCTTTTATTCCCCTGATGACAATAATGGTCACAAATTCTACTTGAAAACTTGATAATATACTTTCTACTTTTTTGTAGAAGGAAAGAGCTATAAATTTCTTACCTGCTATCTTTTTCTTATGCAGAACAAAATACTTTAAAATCTCTCTGAGAGTATTTATTACTAGCAGTCGTTACTAGATCAACAATTCACTTTTGTTCATTTAAAATCATTACAAGTATGCTAAACTTTATTAAATTGTTTTCTGTATTTCAAATATTGGCATTAGACCTAATGTCATGATTATAAAAAATCAAATTTTCCATCAAAAATCCCAACTTGTTTCAAGTTGTTTCATAAATTTTTTAAAACATAAACAATTTATTTTCAAGACTCTAGCATTAGTATTAAAAGTGAAGTCCATACTAAAAAGTTAATGACTCAGATTATTAAAATATTTCCTTGAAAAACTCTTAATAGGTTAACACTTCATGTTACTTTCCAGAATAATTTTAAGATTTCTCTCCAATGGTGGTGGTCAATAATGTGATTATCAATTTGAAGAACCATCTTTCAACTCTCTTAAAGTAAATATCCAAGAACAAAGATTTTTGTCCAGATAAACTTTCTATAGATTATGATAAAAGGATGAATTTTATGACCTTCCCACCATCCCTAAAAATATTAGCAAATTGGATTTTTAAATTAACTTCTCATACATTTCTCTGAAAAAAATCACTACTACATTGCAAAATACCAACTCTTTTTAAAAAAGTGTATTTATCTATAAATAATGAAAACCTACCATTTTCATCATTAAGACCTAGTTGGCCAAATTTGTTGCGTCCCCATCCAAAGATAGCTCCAGAAAGGGTGAGAACAAAACTATGTGCTCCTCCTGCAGCAATTTGCATGAAAGGGATTCCAAGCAAGGACTTAATCAGCTGTGGTGAAGCTTGCCTTTTACAGTCAGTGCCTAAACCCAACTGGCCATATTTATTCTGTCCCCAGCAGAAGACTTCACTTGCTGTAAGACAAAAATTATAAAATTAACCATTTTTCTCACATAAAAAACATTTCATTTGAAGATTATCAATTACTTGGAGAGATTCCTCCTCACATCACATGGATATTCGTAATCCTCGTTCTTACATTTATGTCTTATATGGAAAGATACACTATCTTAGAAGAAAATTCTGTTAGTACACTTTAGGTTTTACTGACTAAACTAAAGAATGGGTAAGTCACATAACTGAGGGTAACCTCATTTTCTTGTTTCTCATATATGACTGTCTCAAGAGTAAGGAGGTTCTCCAAAAAATTAAAAAGAGCTACCATATGATAGAATAATCCTACTTCAAGTTATTTACCTGAAGAATGTGAAAACATTTATTTGAAAATATAACCACCCCTATGTTCATTACAGTACTATTCACAATAGCCAACACATGGAAACAACCCAAGTGACCAATGACAGATGAATAGATGAAGAAGGTGTGGTACATATACACAGTAGAATACTATTTAGTCAAAAATAGTATTCTCGCCATTTGCAACAACATAGATGGACATTGAGGAGATTATGCTATGTGAACTAAGTCGGAAGGAGAAAAACAAGGAACATGTGATTTTAGTCATGTGTGGCACATAAAGAAAAAACCAACCCTAGACTCAAACCAACCAAGGGAATGGTGGTTACCAGAGGAGAAGAAGGGAGGAGGAAATAGGAAGAGAAGATGACTGGTTGCTGGTGGATGGTGACTGGACATTTAGTGGTAAGGATGGTGTGATACATAGTTACTGAGGTAGAAAACTACACACCTAAAACCTATAGTATTTTAAGTTAATGTCACCTTTTTGAAATATTTGCAAACCTTACTTTCATTCTGTGATTTCTCCTAACAGGCTTCCCACACTCAAGGCTTTAGTTATCAACTACATGCTGATCACATTCAAAATGTTATCACTAGCTCAGACTTCTCTGCTCAACAAACCCATGTATCCATTTACACCTGGATTTTTCAAAGACACTTCAATTTCAGTGTGCCCCAAACTCAATTCAGGACCCCCATCCTGCTACCCATACCTGCATCTCTTTCTAGTATTTCCCATCTCAGTAAATTACATCATAACTAATTTAGCAGTACAAGTCACAAATGTAAGGAGTCTTCTGTAATAACTCTCCTCTCAATACCATATGATACAGCAATACCACTCTTGAGCATCTTATTCAAAGAATGTGAAGCCATCAATCCAAAAACTTGTATGCTCTACAATGTTCACTGCAGCACTATTACAATAGCCAGGATATGGAAACAACCTAAGAGTCACTGAAAGAGGATTAGATCAAGAAGACGTGGTATACCTACACTGAAAAACAAAATGTTGCTATGTACAGCATACTGGGAGGCATTTGAGGGAATTATGTGTAGTAAAGCACACTCTGTCTGGTGAATCCTCTCACCCCCTGCACCTCTGGCCTGCACCCCGGATCTTGCATGCATGCATAAATAAATCTTTAAATATATATATTGGACACATATATAGAAGAATCAAAACAAAATACTTACAAAAACTAGCAAACATTAATTAACAAGTGAGGTTTCTGAGGTATATAGAAAGGGGGAGAAGGAGAAAGGGACAAAGGGCTATAAAGAACAGTGGTGGGAAAAAATGGTGACTTCTATGAATTAAACCAATACCTTTATATGTTATATATCAACCTTCAATGAGGAAAGTAAGGGAGAAATTGCTGAAAATACTGGAAACAGGTTTAAGTTTGCCTTTTTTTAAAACTGTAATCACTGAATTATTCTTATAAAAATATTAACAAGAGGAGGCTTTTAAGACTACTCAAGAATTGTGGGAGCAGTTTTGAGACAAAGAACAAATGTGTGATCTTATTCTCTGAAGAAAATAAGAAGCAGGCAGATGAATTAGCTGAAGAATAAAGAGTCAAGTACTGGATGAAAAATCAGTGGCAAAACATTTTAAATAAACCCTTTCTTAATTTCTATACCTATTCATCATCTTTTACCAAGTTGTATAGTTTTCTTTCTAAAGGAAAATATGGCTAGATCTATTCAACAACTTACCTGGTTCCTACAGTAGTTCTCTATGCCATTTCTGCTACCCACTGTCACCTTGTTTTGCAAATTTAATATTTTATTTTTATTAAATAGCTATCATTAAATTATTTTTTTAAAAATCAGTTATTACAAGTCAATTACTAGTTTAAGTGTATAATTGTACACACTTAAAAGTAAGCTCTCCTCCAAAATTAAGATTCCTAGTTCCTTTCCCAAGAGACAATCACTCTTACCAATTATTGGTATGTATTTCCAGAAATAATCTATATGTATTTCCAAAGATAATCAAGGTCCTTTGTAACAGATTTCTATTTTACTTCAACTGAAGTAAAATTTCTATTTATCTCAACTGAAGTATGAGTATGTTACAATATCCACATAAAACTACTTGCCAATACTCAAAAACACAAAATGCTTTCCTAATTCTATGCTTTTATTAATACCTATCACCTTAGCTAATCCTCAACATTTCCCCTACACCCTTCTAAGTATTTGTACAATGCAGAATAAATTCTACACAGCTTCAAGGCTTATAAGAAATACCAATCCCCTCCTTCTTATAAGCAATTCTATTTGACTGTATATATTTATCTTTTTCTTCATTCCCAGAGCATTTTACTTTTACCTTGACCAAAGCAGTTTGCATTTTTTGCTACTCAAACTATTGTTATTTAAAAGGACACTATTTAAGCAAAGAAAACTAGGTGGTATCATCCCTAAAACATTATCTGTACTTCCCAACAGCTCCAAACTAGTATTTAATTAAAATCCCACTAGGTTGTTTGCGTGTCTGTGAAAACTGGTAAGCTAATTCTAAAATGTGCATGGAAAAGGATCAAGAAGTAAAACAATCTTGAATAACAACAACAAAATTGGAGAATTTTATGCTCACTTAAAATATTAATAAAAATGGGGCCTCCCTGGTGGCTCAAGAGGTTAAATAAGTCTCAGCACTATGAAGCAGTTCCCAGCCACTGCAGCAGGAGTTCAATCCCCAGCCAGGGGGCTAACCCACATGGCACAGCAGACCTTGCCTGTCTCGCCTTCTGCTCCCCTCAGCAGTGTATTTAATGGTTCTGCTCCCCACTCTGTCTGGTGAATCCTCTCACCCCCTGCACCTCTGGCCTGCACCCCGGATCTTGCATGCATGCATAAATAAATCTTTAAATATATATATAAATAAAAAAAGGGAAAGGAAAATAAAAACACTTACCTTTAGAAAGTGCAAGTGAATGATAGTAACCGCAAGCAACCTGTGCTATCTGGATATCTGACAAACTTTTAATATTTCTAGAAAATAAGAAAAAAGATCAGGATCAGTTAACTCTATTTAAGAAATGAATCTTGAATGCTATATATTTATGCCATATTGATCACCTACTATATAGTAATTTCCTACCAACCTAGCAGTTCATGCCTACATACTACAATCCAATTTAACAAAAATTAATAAATTAATAAAATGAGGAGGGAAAACACTTTAAAAGGGTGATACTTAATACGCAAACTATGCTCAACTACACTTACTCAAAAACTCCTGAGTGCTCTTATAAATCTAATGCTTTTATTATCACAAAGTTTTTTTAAATCTTTAAGTGTGAAACTTGGCAACATCTTTGTAAAAAAAAAATGTGCATTATCTAATTGTCTAAAATTAGTGCTTGGCCTAGTTTAATATATGTTTTCCTCTATCAGCTCCTTAAGAAATAGGGAATCTTATGTGGTGGACGAATTCACAAATCATAAAACCTATTGTTTATGGTCTATCCTTTTACATCTAAATGTAAATACTTTACATGAATACTTTTACATCTAAATCAGTGATATTCCATTTATTTTTATTATTTTTATTGTGTATTATGATCACTGATATGTTCAGTCATATTTCTTCCATGTGTTTTCTTTTTAGGGTTTTTTTCCCCTCCCTTCTGATTTTTCCTTCATTGCAATGTAACTATCAAGATTATTTTTAAAACATAAAAATCAAGTAACTTTGTACATCAACTATCCCAGGTTTTCGTATGTAGTTCCTCTTCACCTGATCATTCTGATTTTCCAGAATGTTTTCAAGAAAAAAGGGGAGAGGAAACATACTGTGTTTCTGATTGCCCTTTACCTGATACTGCCACCTGACCTGATTTTGCCATATGAGAGTCCGGAGCAAGTTCTGACCAGAGTGTCGATACCCATGATTTTCGGGAGGCAGCTTCAGCAAATCAAATTTTGAGCAGGAGAAAGGAGAGTTACTCTAATTCCATATTGTTGTATTAAAAATATTTTTATTTAGTGGATTTATGTTCTTAACTACAAAATCTGAGAGTTGTACTGCTATTTAGCAGAATCCAATAAATTAGCAAGATCCAATACTTTCAGATTTTCAAATGCAGCAAAAACACTATTTTTCTACATTTAGCAAGATTAAACATTGGCAATGCAAAAGTGGGAATGAAAAAATACATGGATATGTACAACTGTGCTGAAGTTACTAAACATTTACTATTATTGATTCAGTATCAGGCACATCATACATTAACAATGACCTATATTAAATATTTTTAAAAAGCAACTGCTCCAGATATCGAGTCTAATTTACAAGACCAAGAAAAGGATTTCAAAAGACTTCATTCTCATAGTTCCACTTTATTCTTTCACAGCACTTATCACTAGTAATAACCAGTGTACATATCATTCAATTATGAATAATGTATACTGTGCTAACCAATAAAATCTGCAAAGTCAGATTATGTGTTTTATAAACTATTTCCTAGCACCTGCCATAATGTTTAGTAAAAAGTATGTAATGAACATACTGCTAAACTGAATTTGTAAAGTCTCTGTACTTTTATGAAGAAATTATTCATAAAATGTACCTGAAAGACTTCTAAACTCACAGAACCAATTTACAACTCAGTGACTCTATTTTTAAAATACTATCAAGACTTGAAATATACATAAATGCTAATTTCTTTCACCATGTCTACTTCAAAGAAAAGGAAATATATTCTTCTGTCATTAGTACTTTAAAGAAAAAACATCTCTTTTCATCTCTGCATAAATTTAATAATATACTGAATATTGGGGGGGTGAAGATAGGCTCTATTGTTTTAGCTTTCAGGTAATAAAAAACTAAAATAATACTATGATAGGTAAAAATTCAATTTATGAAATTAATTTCCCATGTTCCTTTTTTTCTAGAGATAACAAGTTAGAAAATTCTTAATGAAGTAGAACTTTATAGAATTCATCAAAAGTAATCTGGCCTTTTAAAGTAAAAAAGATAATGTTAATGTATAAAGATTTTTATTTTTAAAGGGATTCCAATGCAATTAATAAGAAAGTAAAATAAGCCAGAATAAATTTTGTAAAAGTTTTATTTTTACATGTAAAAATACACACACACGAAGATTCCTATGATCTATATAAAACACTAGAAAACTTAAATAAGGGACCAGGAAAATGAATATAAGAAAGTGAAAATCAAAATCAACAAAAAACTATGAACCAGAGACACTTTTTGGGGGGTGGGGGGCGGGAGGGGAAGGATTGGGGTCAGAATGGGGCGTTTGCAATTGTATGGGGGAATATAAAAATAAAATTTAAGATTAAAAAAAAAAAAAAAACACATGTGTTTAGAGCAAACATTTTACTGCTTATAAATTAACTCCCTGAAGTCTAGAACATACCAAAAATTTTAAATGACTATGATATCTCTAAGATGATTCACTGTTAAGAAGAGTAATTTCTTTATGAATTTTGAAAGTTATCTGAAATTTACAAGAAAACAGCAAATAAACTTGGAAATAAGATTTATACTACCTCTTGGGAATTCTGCCAAAACATATTAAATACTGAATATCTCATACTCATTATATAGCAGTATTATATATAACAATACTGTTTTATTTTTCCAACTTAATATATACACAGGCAATAAAAACAGAAACCAAGCATTTCCAGTTGTTTGAGAAGATGAAATTCTAACAACTATTAACTAAGACTGGTAAAAAGTTTACACTGTATAATTAAAAATGAAAAATTACAGCATTAAATATTTTGCCAATTCCAAACATATCAAAGTATATACATTAAGTACAGCTTTTTATATGTGAATCATACCTCAATAAAGTGGCTTCAAAAATTTTGCCAATAGAACATATTAACAATAGTCTTTCCTCAAGTCAAACCATAACTTTCTTAGTGATTTGTATATAGTACTAACACCAATTTTTTTCAATTTTGAAAAATTTAGATTAACAACTGATTGAGCCTCTACTATTAAAAAAGTTTTAATTTTTTAAATTCAGATGCTAGTGTTAAGCAGAAATTTTAAAAAATACACTAAAAACTGAGTGAAATCAAGAAAATAAATTTTATTTTTTACCAAGCTATTTAAACATATATAATTAAATTTTATAGTCCAAAAATAGCTATTATCACAAGGATCATATTATACCATCCTGTTACAATATTTTGTTGAGTATGTCCAAAAACAGAATTTTAAAAATAAACTATATCTTCATTACCAACAATCACTTTTGGAAAGTTTGCATAAAAAAAGTATTTACACTTACATTAAACTAACAGACCATAAAAATTAGGCTTAACTTCAATTTCAGCCTTTCTCCCAGAAAAAGAAAAGTAGTAGGAAATTATCAAACTAGTAATTACTTCAAATATAATCTATTTATTATTAATTTACAAGCTTCTATCTGCTAGCATAAAAATGGATTTTGTTGTCAAGAAAGTAGTCTAATGTGAATGGCATTTTTCTAGTGACTCTTAGAAAAATTGTAAAGACCTAATTTTTAAAATATATTTACAAATATCTGAGTTTCATTCTCTTTTTTATAAATGTTATATTCAAAATGTATGTGATGTAGTGATGTAAACTTATGTCACCCCAGTAAAGGAAAAAAAAAGTACAGGAATTTCCAAAGCTGGCTGACATCTTTAAGCATCTAAATAAAAAGCTTTGTGTCTAAATATGTGTTGGTATGCAAACAAAAATGAAAATAATCACTGGTAGTATGTTTCTGTTGAAATACTAAACAAAAATTTAAACAAGAAAATATTGGTAAAAACTTGTATGTCACAACAAATCATATCAGTCCATGAAAAACAGAAAGATGAACAACAGAAATGCCTTAACACAAAGCTTAAAGTTAATATAGATCTCTAGCAAAAACAAAAATAAAGGCTTTAAACCAAGGACTCAAATAAAATCTTTTCCACATCCCCATCCAGGTTCAAGAGCAGTAAAGTCACAAGTAAATAATATATTACCAAGAACATTCAAATTGTCATGTTAAATTTTCTCCTTATAGTTACCTTTCTTTTCATTTACTAATCATCTACAGATTACAAATTGACTGAAAACACTTATACAAGAAGTGAGTAACGACAAAAAAGATGAGAATTAAGAAACCAGTGGAATAAAAATAAGGGTAACTAGAAAGCTTTTCCAGGAACCATGGCTTTAAGACTACCAACTTAGAAAATCTGACATATAAAACCCTTTCAATCCTAAAATCACAGAATTTTTAATCTTAAATTAAAAATCTCATTCTGCAACAATTACTTGTGAAAGGAAATAAAAACAGAAAAGGATATGACATATATGTGGTTGCGATATTTCTATAAGTGATTTGTATTATCTAGTCAATAACTACTTATTTGCAAATTACCATTTTCTCCTGAAAAAAATCAAAATTGAAGTGACTTTAAAAATTCAATTTATTCAACCTAAGGAAAAAAACAAGTTTTCCAACAGCATGATCATTAAGAAACATTAAAAACACAATGGAATTAGGTTCATTATTTGTTATCACAGAACTGGGGTTTTGTAGAATTTAGTCACAAGTTCAACAAAGGAAACATGTTAAGGTGATTTATCCAGGAGCCAACAACATTTCATCACCAGAACAGATATAAAATGTCAAACTGAAGATTAAAAAAACCTTAATATGCTAAAACAAATACAATAAATGTGTACTTGAAGCTTTTCAATATATACATATGAAAGAAGTTTATAGGCTTATTGAAGGAACTACCTTCTCTAGTTTAAAAAAAAAAAAATTCATTTTTAACAATGGTAAAGAGTTCCTACGCTCCATTTTCTTATCCTAGTAGTTACATCCTATTTCTTAAATCGAAACTAACATTATCGATGTTAAATTAAAAATAAAATATTTAAGAATGTGTTTTTGAAAATGCTACATAGAATTAATAACTTGGTTCCCTGGAGAGATCTCTTTTGTCCCTATAACTATTATTAGGAAAAAATAACAAGAGTTTATAGGAGTCAAGAATTTGTAAAATTTTAAAAACTACAAGTGTATTATTTATTATTTGCAGTTATTAATCTTAAAGCAATGTTTATAGCCTATGTATATATACAATATTAATGAAGCATTGTTTATTTTTAAATTTTGAAATAATTCTGTGATGAAGTAATGGTTAACATATATTAAATTGTGTCTGCTATTATGATGTAAAAAAGTAGAAAGTAATAAATGTGACTGAATTCTTTTAATGTTAAGTAAATGTGATTTCCATATTCATTAAGATTGAAAAAAAAGATAGAAAAACATGCAACCAACCAATATTTAATAAATATTTCAGCAGCTTAGGGAACTAAGGTAGAATTAATTCTTTAATCAGTGTAATCCACTTAAAAATTTTCAAAGAGAAAATTTATAATAAAGTACATATTCCTTACCCATTTTCTCTACACACGAATTAGGGGGGAAATATGGAGTATAGAAAAATACTTAAGTAAACTCCTAAAGAACCATAAAGGAAAAATAATTAGGTGTCAACTACTATATGTCCATAGTAAATGGGATAAATTAGGTAACAAATTTATTAAAAAAGATTGCTGAGGACCTCTTTCTGGTCACCTTTGTTACCTGGGTACTCTGATACATTCCTCTGTTCCTAGCAGGCCAAGTTGTCCATCAGAATCAAGACCCCAAGCATACACCTGGCCCTTGTCATTTAGGGCTAATGTGTGAGCTTCTCCACATGAAACAGCTACGATATTTTGAGCATCCAGGGCAACAACCTGTTCTACAAAAATCAAAAAGAAAGACATTACATTCTAATTGTAAATTTCCAATGAGAATAAAACACACTCTTCATGTTACACAAACATGCTTAAAAATGCTTAAATACAAAACAAGTATAACTTCAGTCATTCTAAATAATCTAACAAATATGATCTGTATGAAATTCTCAATGTGATAAATGCAGATATACATCACAGTTGACATAATCAACTCAGACTATAAATGATTTGAACATTTTGTGTTCCTCAATCAAAATCATCACCAAAAAAAGGAGTCCAGCTGAAAGAGAATCATTTAAACAACCTAGCCTGTTTGATTTTAATTGAAACATACATTATCATGTACATAACTTTCACTATGGAGCGACTAAAATATATTAAATAACCTTAATTGGAAATTTCTGACAGGAAACAATTTCTTCACAGATCTCATTAATAAAGTATTTATTGACTATGCTGAGGAGAGAATCAAAAGGCAAGGTAATGGTAATATATAGATCCCAGTTTATGGACTGCCATTTTAATGTCAAAGATAAAAAACTCCTTATGTGTTTAAAATGTATTCAAGCCTTAAACCTGAAATTAATTTAAAATATTGACGCTTCATAAGAATGTCAGTAAAAAAAAATTTGACAAATTTTAAAAAGTGAAATTGCTTCTTTAGTCTCCTTAAAATGTACAATGTCTATCAGTTTTTTACCCAAAAAAATCAGTACAATTTTTTTCGCTACCATTTAAAATTATAATTTCTTAGCTTACCAAGAAAGCTGTAATTACTGTGTTCAATAAACTGAAAGCCTCGTATTGAAGCTATTCAAAATAGAATCAGAATATCTTCAGAAGGAACTTTTAGGTCAATATACAAATACAGGGCCTCCCCGGTGGCGCAGCGGTTGACAGCTGGGTTGTGAGGCTGCCCGCAGCCTCTGCAGTGCCGGTTCGATCCCCTGCTACCAGCGAGGGTCCCGCATAGGCGCAGACCTCTCCTGCCGCCTGCTGCTCCCCTCAGCAGTGTACTTCAGTCCTTCTGCCTGCTCTGCTCCCTGCTCTGACTCTGGTGAATTCTCTCACCTTCCTGCGCTTCTGACTGTACCCAGTGCTTGTATAAATAAATAAATAAATAAATAAATCTTTAAAGTATATATATATATATATATATATACACACACACACACACACAAATACAGATGTTCAATAATGAAGCACTGCATCAAGTAGGGTTAAATTTCTGTGTCTAGAGAAATTCAAATTGTATCTAGATTACTACACTGCATTGTGGATTAGGAGATTAGCCCTAGATAACTTCTAGGAATCTGTACACTTTAATGATGTTATCTTAGGTACTTACCTTAAAGTACCATGAATAACTCATGAAGCTAGTGAATAGTACATGGATGCTCATTATACTTCTCTTACTCTTTATGTATATTTTGTGTATATGATTTAAATATATATTGTAGCTATATACTCAAAAAAGTAAAACAAGATATAACACATACCATCACCCCCAAAAAAATCAAGAAAAATAACTGACTATAACATTGCACCAAAACATTCACAAAAGTAAAACACACAAAAGAGCTGCTGTCTCTCACACAGGCCCCAGAAATAAGTCAATGTCTTCCAAGACAATTCTTAAAGGCAAATGTAGTAAAGAGCAGAAAATGATAGCATAAGAGAGATAAACAAGCAGCCTTATTGGTTCAATAGTAACAAATGAACAATATTTATATTAAATAACAATGACTATGAAATCAAAGGCATCCAAAAATCCAAGAAACAGAGCATCAACACCAAACACTAATGTTTACTGTATACCTCATGTGCTCCAAGCATGAAAGATATACAGATAGATAAAAAAAAGTGTTTGAGCTTAGGAGTTTATAATCTATTTTTTTAAAAAGTGAAATAAGAATTGTGAACAGGCAGCACTCTGCCTACCCAACTGTGACAACGCAGGTGCTTCTTTTCACCAACTCTCTCCTCTGCGGGGCAGCACCCTCCCTGCCTGCCCGTGACCTGGATTATACCAGGACTTCTCTTCACTGACTTCCCTCAGCAGAATAAGCTCTCCTCAAGGCCACCTGCCTGCAACCATGCAGGCCTCTCACAGCAAATCTGAGCCTTTCGGGGCAGCTCTTCCTGCCTGCTTGTGTCTATGCAAGTTTCTTTATTCCTCTGTCCCTTCCCCTAATAAACCTGTTCTTTAAATATAAAAAAAAAATTGTGAACAAATACTAAGATAAAGATATACAAAAGACCATGGGGACATGAAAAACTTCAATTAAGTTTTGAAAGACTTGGCAAGACAGTGACATGTAAGCTAAATTCTAAGCCAAGGAAAGATGAAGAGATTCTGTACCCATTTGAGAAAATTCCAATTCTTTGTTATAGCAAAATAAACTAAAAGCAAAGTCAAAAGACTGATGAGAAAAACAGGGAAAATGTTATTCCCAATTTTTAAAGGCTTAGTAGAAAAAAAATAGTAATCTAGAGATAAATAGTCAAAAGATAGGAACAATTCACAGAAAAAGAAACAGTCATTAATCATATGAAAAGATGCTCAACTTCCTTGATGGAAAAAACTGTACTGAAAAGTCTACTATATTCAAACTATTGATATACTGAAAAGTCAGTAACATGTTCACTGAGAAAATTCATCAAGTCACAGACTTTTAAGTAGTGTCCCATATGAGTTTAACCTTCAATTATTAAAGTTTTTACCTATCAAGAGAACGAGAAGACAGGTCACAGACTGAGAGAACATATTTACAAAAGAAACACCTAATAAAAGACTATCATCCAAAAATACAAAATCCCTTAAAACAACAATTAAAAAACTACTAGCCCAATTACAAAATGCAGAAGACCTGAACAGGGAGGGAGACCTATCAGTGACATATGAAAGGATGTTCTATACCATGTGTCATGAGGGAACTGTAAATTAAAATAAGATACCACTATTTGGAGATACACCTACTAAAATGGCCAAAATCCAAAATAACATCAAATGTTGGTGAAGATAGAGAACAAAAGAAACACTCCCTCATTGGTGATGAGCACGCAAAATTGTACAATCCTTTTAGAAGACAGTTTGGCAGTTTCTCACAAAACATACTCTTACATGATCCAGAAGTCATTTCCCTTAGTATTTATATAAAGGAGATGAAAATTATGCCCCCACAAAAAAAAAAAACTGCAAGTGAATGCTTATAACATCTTTATTCATAATTGCCAAAAATCTGGAAGCCACCAAAATGTCCTTCAGAGGGTTAATGGATAAACTAGGTACGTTCAGATGATGGAATACTATTTGGCACTAAAAAGCAAAACAAAACAAAAAACTGAGCACTGAGAAGAGACAAAAGAAACTTAAATGCATATTACAAAAAGAAAGAAGTCATTTTTGAAAAGGCTCCATATTGCCTGATTCCAACTATATGATAATCTGGAAAAGGTGACATTAAAAAAAAATAAAACTTCCAGGATTATGTTGAAAAGCAGTGGTGAGAGTGGACATCCTTGTCTTGTTCCAGATCTTAATGGGAATGCTTTCAGCTTTTCACCATTGAGAATGACATTGGCTGTGGGCTTGTCATAGATGGCCTTTATGATGTTTAGGTATGTTCCTCGTATCCCGAGAATTTCAAAGGCCTTTATCATAAATGGGTGTTGTACTTTGTCAAATGCTTTCTCAGCATCTATGGATATTATCATATGGTTTTTATATTTCTTTTTGTTGATGTGTTGGATTACATTGATTGATTTTCGGATGTTGAACCATCCTTGTGTCCCTGGAATAAATCCTACTTGGTTGTGGTGAATTATCTTATGGATGCATTGTTGGATTCTGTTGGCAAGGATTTTGTTGAGGATTTTTACATCAGTGTTCATTAGGGAGATTGGCCTGTAATTTTCTTTTTTTGTGCATTTATTCCAAAGAGCACCTGCACCCCTATGTTTATAGCAGCACTATTTATAATAGCTAAGCTCTGGAAACAACCCAAATGCCCAAAAATAGAGGATTGGCTCAAGAAGATGTGGTACATATACACAATGGAATATTACTCAGCAATCAAAAAGATAAACTCATACAATTTGCAGCAACATGGATGGAGCTGCAAGGGATCATGCTCAGCGAAATAAGCCAGAAAGAAAAAGAAAAATACCGGATGATCTCACTCATAGCAGGAATCTAGAAAACCTATTAAATAAGGGACCAGGAAAAAGAATAACTGTAAGAAAGAAAAAAATCAAAATCAACAAATAACTATGAACTAGAGACACACTATTGGGAGGGGTGAAAGGAGTGATTGGGATCTAAATCAGGGGGGTGCAATTGTATGGGGAATATAAAAATAAAAAAATAAAAAGATTAGAGATTGCCAAGAGTCAGGGGTGAGGTAGGATAAATAGGCAGTGCACAGAGGATTTTTAGGGTCATGAAACTATTCTGTACAATCTATCCTATACAATACTACAATTCACCACACATTTCTCCAAATCCATAGCATATACAGCCCAAAGAATGAGCCCTAACATAAACTATGGATTTTGGATGAAAATGATGTGTCAATGTAAATTCTTTAATAGCAATAAATGCAACACTGTGGTACATACAGGCTGCGGGTAGTGGGGGAGGTTGTGCATGTGTGAGGATAGTGGTATATAGGAACCCTGTATCTCCTGCTCAGTTTTGATGTAAACCTAAAATATAATTTACTGATAAAACTTTTGTTTAAAAAAGACCTTTTTGGGGCCACCCTGGTGGCACAAGGGGTTAAATCTCAGCACTATCAAGCTATCAGCAGCCACTGCAGCACAAGTTCAATCCCAGGCAGGGAGCTAACTCACATGCCACAGCAGACCTCTCCTGCTCCCCTCAGCAGTGTATATTGGTTGATCTGCCTGTTCTGCTTCCCACTCTGTCTCTGGTGAATCCTCTCACCCCCTGCACCTCTGGCCTACACCCTAGCTCTTCTTGTATGCATAAATAAATAAA